GGGCAGGCCGCGGCGGGGGGCGGGCGGCCGTGCGGAGCGGAGCGTGCACTGCCCCTGCCCGGCGGGGAAACGGGGGGGTGGAAGGGGCAGCCGGAGGAGGCGGGGAAGAGGAGGCCGGCGCTGGCTTGAGGCAGCGGGGGCGGCTCCCGCCGCGCCGCCGCCCTGATAAAACGAGGCGTCGGGAGGGGGCTGGCGGCGGTGAGAGGGGGCGGCTATGGCGTGGGGCTGCACGCTGTGCCTGGCGCTGGCGGGAGGCGCCCTCCTGGCGCTGCTGGCCCAGCTGCTGCGCTGGGTGCGGGCCGACGGCGACCTCACGCTGCTGTGGGCCGAGTGGCGGGGGAAGAAGCCAGGTAAAGCTGACCGCTAGGGGAGGGGGGGTGCCGGGACAGGGAGTGGTGTCGCCACGGGGGTGTCTGGGGAGGGGTCCGTGAGGGGAAGGGACGTGGTGGCCTGTGGGGAGGGAAGGAAGGAGGAGAGGGGTTCCCGGGGACGCGGCTGAAGTCGCCTCAGCTCGGCCGAGCCAGTTCTTGGCAGCTGTCCGACGGGCTTATCTGAAGTTCAGTAAAAACAACCCCCAAAGCATAAATTTCCTGCCCTGAACTAGCCGTGTGCACCTCTCCCGCACCAACGCGGCTCTCCAGAAAGGAGCCGCCAGCGGGGCTGTGGTGAGCGCTGGCTCCTTTGGCCCAAAACTGGTTGTTTTGCAGGGTTTCTGGGCAGATGCCTGGCTCTGGCGCAGGGACCCAGGCTGTGAGGGTCAGGGAGGGTGTCGGTGGAAGGAAGAGGAAGGAGACAGGATGCTCTGCGCCTGCAGCCTGGACGGGTTCCTTTGTAGTTGGTTCGGCTGCTCTTTCAGTTTGTTCTGACATTTGCAAGCAGATCTCGGCATCACAGTAGCGGTGAAAGTGTTTAGCATGGTAAACGTTAATATAAATGTTTGGGTTAAATGGGTTTCCTCTCCTGAGAGTTGTGCCCCAAAAGGCACTGGGGAGCGGCGCTCACAGTTGCTGTCTGGGGCTTTGCACCAGTTCTGTGGGAGGTGCTGCTTTTGACACCTGTGGGTACAGAAGTTCAATAAAATGCCTTCAGACGGGGATTTGCAGCTCTTTCTTGTGTCGATCTGACTAGTTCTGCCTACTACTGGACAAAGATCTTTAAAAATCTTAGGTTTTATTCACTCAACAGAGGCTTTTGATCAGAAAAGCCACAACTTTCTGGATATCCCCCCCTCAGCCTTGCCAGCAGTGGGGACTGGGGGCTGCTGCGAGCTGTGCGGGGGGATGAGGTGAAGGTGGGGAGCTCTTCTTTCAGATTGGCTTCTTCCCTTAGCTGGTGAGATGCAAGAAGATGGGGCAAATGATGCTTCGAGCTCGTCCCATGTGAGAAATGAAACTGGATGTTGGGTTGAGATAGGGAGATAGAACTGCATTGAACGAAGGCGGATCAGGAATGTGTGACTGGGGGCAATGGTGGAATAAGGGTTTGAGACCACCATTCTGTAGGGCATGGTGGTGTGGGTGAAGGTCAGTATTAGAAAGGGCTTGAGAGAATAGTAGAATGAACAGGTTGAGACACCTCTCTCTTCTGCTTTCAGTAGAAGCTTGCTGCAAAAGTGCTAGTCCATATAATGGAGAAGAGAATAGAAAAGCATGCACAAGTAATAAAGTACTAAGAAATACTAAACTTAGGTCTGTGTGAGCAAACCGCGTGTAATTCTTAGGATATGCAGCTCAAAGTTTTATAGTAACTCCATCAGGTAGTTCCCTCACTATAAGAAAACCACAAAAAAGCTTTGTGTGTGTACTTTGCAAAGATAATGGACTCAGGGCAGAGAAACAAGGTGAACAGAATTGAAGCTTTGTCCTGAGGGATCTATGTGCAATGCTCATCAAGATGTAGGAGCTCTCAGGCAGACAAAGTGTTACTTGGATGTAGCCTTCAGTTTTATTGCAAGCTTGGAAACCTTTTAACTAGTCCCTAAAAGTTCCCATATAAAGAGCAATGTAGTTATTTTCTGATGTAGTTGTTTCAACATGTGAAGAATCAGGCAGAATTTTGTCAACATGAGCTCCTTTGCTCCACAAAGAAGCGAGCTGTGTTTTGTCCCCGTCTCCCAGCCTCAGTGCTTGCAATTAGCTAAAATATGTAGCTGAAATGGTAGCATTTAAGTGGCATTTTGCTGGTACTTCAGCCATATACATGTGGGATGGTGGTGCCACAGTGCTGATTCTAACTGTTCAGGTAGGAAAACAGAAGGAACAAATGCTAGAAAATATGTTTCTTTAAATATATTCCCCCTTTTCTCTTCCTCCTCACTATATTGTGCATGTAATTTAGCGTGCCTAGGTAAGTAGCATGTGGATCTCATGGGAAAAACCTCTTGATTTTTATTTAAAGCTGTTCTCAGATCTGCCAGTCTTGCAGTCATTATATTATGTTACTGCTTCTACAACTTTATTACAGATGTTGAAGTTCTTGGAGATAAAAATACTTACCAGAAAGCAGACTGATCTTGTGTGTTTCTTTCTCTTTTGCCGTAATTGCGAAGAAGGGCCTTAATATAGGTATGGCTGGTTCCATTTAAATGGTTCAGTTCTACTGGAAGAATTAACTTCTGGATTTTGTCATTGGCAGGTGCTGGATTGCTTCCCATCTCCCAAATATTTGTGTCGCTGGGATACAGGGGTTACTGGGTGCTGGATGGCTTTCCTTGTGTTGTTTCATTAGCTGAGCCACAGTCACTCTAAATATTGTTCTTTTCATAGGCAGTATAGTATTATCAAGCTAAGGAGGATCCTTTTACATATGAAAACCTATGTACCTGAAAGCCTCCTCCTGAATTAAAGCTGGGAATAACAATATGATTCTTTAGGGCCCTGGGGAGAATGTTCTGCTTTAAACCTCCCCTCCCCAAATTTGTTTCATGAATGAAATGAAATGGTAACCTTGTGCTATAGGAGCTATAAAATGTTGGAAAAAACCCTAAATAGGGCTACAAAAGCACTTCTTGGATTACTTGCAGTACTACTTTGTTCAACCTCTCCTTTGTTACGCCTTGTAACACAGTAGTTAATGGTTAGTGATAGTATAAGCTGAATCTGTTTTTCTTTTTTAATTTGTCATGGTTAATTTTTAAACTTATTTCCAGTAACAACAGGACATGTATTCTAGAGGAAGCTGGTGGTTTGGTACTTGTTCTACAACGGCATTTGAGCTAAGGTTTCCATTATGTTAACTCCCAGTAGCTCAGTGCTTGGTAACTATCAGCACTGAGGAATAGGTGGAAAACTTTCCTTATCTCAACTTAACTATTTTGTCCACAGAACAAGATCTGAATAACTGCAGTGAAACTGCCTAAGACAGGTCGGGAACAGGGAAACTAAATGGTAGGAGGCAGCTGATTTCTTTCAGTAGCAAGGGGAGGTGAGTGTGGTAAGCAGGGTTGAAGGTATGTCCGCATGTTCTTTTGTTGTGTAGTGTTTGTCTACACAGGTTTTCTGCCAAAACCCCCCCCCAGTAATAGGAGATGTGTACCCCATGTTTCTTGTGACTAATTCAAGGAGTTATGTATTGGAACAAAACTGGAGGAAGAGAGTGTGAATAAGCTTTATAGACAGCAGCGATTTGGTATAATTATTAATAAATTGGCTATTCCTACAACTTCAGTGACACCTGTTTCCACCTCCCAAGTACATCTCCCCTTTGAAAAGGGGCTGTTGCTGCTTTTGTTACTGTTTTTAAAAGCAAACAAAAAACCCCAGACAACCCAAAGCCACCATGTCTTGGGTTTAGGAGGGATTTTTCTGTGACTAAAATACTATCATAAAAAAAGGCAAATAATACTGACTGCCAGTGCCACAAACTCAAGCTGAGTTCTGCCAGTGAGTCTTGACTACCCTCTGCTTTTGTCGGAAGGGTGGAAGGTTTAGTGCTGGTCTCTTCCTGGGATTTATGTCTTTAAGACTCTGAAAGTAGAAATTTGCAACACAGCATATTATGGAGAGAACCCAGAACTGATTACTGAAGTAAGCAGAAAGTAAAAGCAGCCCCAGCCACTGGGGCTACAGTGAAAAAGAAGTACTTTTGCTAAATTAAGTATGAGTAGGTTTTGGTGAGCTGAAAAATGCTATTCTGGCCTTTTGCAGAATGGAACTGGATTTAAGTCTCAGGAAATGCATTTCACTCTGCTATTTGAATAATACCATGAAGGCTATGTAGGAAAACGTTTAGAAAGGCAAAGCCCAACTAGAACTTAACCTTTCCTTGGATGTTAAGAACAATAAAAAGAATTTCTATAAATATATTAGTTTAGGATATTGTTTACCTGGACTTTAATAAGGCCTTTGATACAGAATCCCACAGGATCCTCCTGGAGAAACTGTCTGCCCATGGGTCAGACTGGAGTAATCTCCGCTGGGTTAAAAACTGGCTGGAGGCTGAGCCCAGAGAGTGATGGTGAATGGAAAGGGTTATTAAGTCTTGGAATGGGCTGCCCAGGGAAGGGCTTGAGGCACCATCCCTGGAGGTTGACATAGTGCTCAGTAACATGGTTTAGTGATGGGTTTTATCAGTTAGGTTGATGGTTGGACTAGATGATCTTAAAGGTTCCTTCCAACCTGGACAATTCTATGATATTGTGAAATTTTTCTTGGTTGTATAGACATTGTTGCAGTACTCTTCTGTACAAAAAAAATAGAAGGAACAGCTCCTGCCAACTTGAGTCAGATTTCCACTAAGACTAATAGTCACTAGGACTAATCTTGAAGAACACCTACAAGTGTTAGGCAATGATACGTTCTGAAAAGTACTCTGCTGTTAGTGGTCGTTCATCCTTTAATCATGTTCTAGAATGAAATAGGTGATTTTTCATCCATCTGTTGTATTTGATGATTTTGGGTATGTGTCTGGAAGGCTAAGCCCTTTCCCAGTACTCGGGGATGACTGCAAACAAGGGGGGGCAGGCGTGGAAGCAGAGGAGTAAAAGGAGCAAGGTGCTGTTATTTTTACTACAGGTTAAAAAAGCATGCCTGGGCAGGAACTATGAGTACATGGGAAATTCACACGTGAGCTTACACCTTGAGAACTCCATGTACTGTGCTGTACTGGCCAACACAGGAATTGACCTGCATCAGATACAAAACAAGGTGGATGAACACCCACTTGGTGTGTTCTGATTCGGTGTCTTCGTTCAGAGAAGTATCTTCTGTCGGTGGTTACTTAAGAACATTTTTTGAGGTAGAACATTATTGGGAAAGGTTTGCTTTGGCTTTTGTTTGGATTTGCAGTACAGTAACTGTTTGCTGTCCTTTCCAAGAATTCTCTTCTCCCTTTTCCTCTGAAGCTCTCTTTGATGAGGTTAGTGGAAATGCTGTATGTAGATGGCTTGCAGAAAAGCAATCAAATTTCTTCCATCAGGTAGATAATCAGTGTTTATTCAGATTAGCCTTGGAACAAAGTTCAAGTGACAACAGAACAGCTATGAACAATTTCGCAACTGCACGTGACCAAAAAATAAAGAAGTCAGGATTTTGTAATAGCTCCCAAAAATGAGCATCTTTTTTAAAAACAATATCACGTTATACCCCTGCAGGGACTTAAATGTTTATCCTAACATTGGCAATGTGTGATCTGCTGTCTTGATTCTTTTGATAGAAGATGAACTGCGTGGCAAGGTTGTCTGGGTGACAGGAGCTTCAAGTGGAATTGGAGAAGAATTGGCTTACCAGCTGTCAAAGATAGGAGCCTTGCTTGCCATCTCAGCAAGAAGAGAGGATGAACTGGAAAGAGTGAAAAAGAAATGCCTTCGTAAGTACAACTTGCTACTTCGTGTGAGCAGTTCTACTCTTGCTGCGATGGAGTTGCCACAGAATACTAATCCACATATCACAGGAATAAATTTCATGAGGAAAGTAAACTTTATACAGAGCTTCACTGTACCTTCGAAACTCTTTGTGAGTGAGAAGCCTTTGTATAGACTTGCATAATGAGTTCCTTCATAAGCCAGTGTTACTTAAGAGAAGTAAGTTATCGTTTGCATTATCAATTGCAAGTTGTCTTGTAAGTGTTGTAGTTTTGGCCAGATTGGCCAATCAGAATGAGACACCCCTCCTCCCCCCTTCTCTGTCCAAGGAGAGGAGGTAGAGATTTGCGAGTTTAGAAAAAAACTGAACTACTTTAATGAAAATATTAATAAATAATAATTAAAAAAATGTATATAGTATATGCAAAACCATATCAAGCTCCCAGGATGACGATCACGTCACCAGCAGGCACAGGGAAAAGTCCCAGACTGGACTCAGTGATGGACAGGAATTGGATTCCGGATCTGGAGTCAGGAATGCTCAGATCGGGATCAAAGGCAAATGAACAGACAGGGTCCTCCTCGGACATCAGCCATTGAAGAGAGAGAGTTGACCCTTGGATCCCTCAGCTTTTATACTGAGTGTTATGCAGATGGGATGGAATACCCTGTTGGTCAGGCTTGGGTCATCTGTCCTGTCTGCTCTTCCCCAGTGGTGCGACTCCTCTATGCTTTTCTGCTTCCAACCCTCCAACAGGGCAAATAACAAAACAACACGTGGTCATGAACCTGATCTTCTCTTACAGTGGGAGGGACTTCACTGGAATGGTGGGACAGTCTTAGCTGCAGTATACACTAGATTTAAAGTCTTCTGTAGTTGCAACACTTCTGTGTTGCAATTGTATGCTACTTTAACTATAGGTCAGATAAGTAGGATGGAAGCTCTTCAGTAATAGTTACTCTGTATTTTCTATAGGCAGCCTAAGTAGTGAAAGAAAGTAATTTGGCCCACTTCCCTCTTATCCTTCCTTTCAAGTCTATGTAAACCCAGATTTCCACCCCTTCCCTTGATTTTCATGTGTGCTAGCCCCCTCTTAACGGCCCTGTGCTATACTCTCTCCAGCTTATCAGTAATTTTCTTGAACTAGGGGGTCCAAAATTGGACACAGTACTCCAGATGGAGAGTGTTGTGTAGATGCACTTAGAAATCACTTCCCTCAGTCTGCTCCTGCTAGAGCAACCCATTAGCATTTGTAATTGCAACAGGTAATTGCTAACTTGTGTTCAACTTGCTGTTGTCCTTCTATCAGGACCTCAGCTCTTGTTTGGAGAGCTGATACCTAGCCATTTGGATGTTGGCCTGCAGCACTGCATAGCATAATCTTGTCCCAGGTGTGAAATTTTGCATTTGGCTTTGTTGAACTTAATGAGTTTTGTCAGACCATCCTTACAGCTTGTTAAGATGCCTCTCTGAACAGCAGTCCTACTCTCCAGCATAGCAACTGCTCTTTTGAACTTGATGTTAACTGAAAATCTGCAGAAAACCTGTGTTTTGTCCCATCGTCTTGGGTCACTAATGAAGGTAGTAAAATATACTGCTTATGGAGGAATACCACTTAATAACTGTCCACTAGTTGGACTTTGGTCGATTGCTGTTCTTCAGGCCCAGTGACCCAGCCTGTTCTTCACACGCGTTGTAATCCACTCATCTAGACCCCTCATATTTCCCCAGTATAGCTTCAAGGACTCTGGAAAGCAGCACAATATAGCCAAAGTAAACAATGCCACTGCTTTCCCCTTGTCCACAGACCCAGTCATCTTCTCACAAAAAGCAAATAAGTTGGTCAGGGAGTATATGTTCATGGTAAATCTGTGCTGGCTCTTCCCAGTCACCTTCTTGGCCTTCATGTACATGGAAATTGCTTTCAGGAGGAATTGCCACATAATTTTCACAAGGACTGAAGTTAGGCCATGTGACATCTAGTTTTCTCCAGTTACTGGGGTGCTACTCCACTTACCAAGTACCTTCCAAACATGGGTGACATTAGTCAGCTCTTGTAACTCTTGGGTGTATATACTGCCCTCCTTAGATGTGCAGTTTGTCTCTAACTTGCTCTTCCTCTGACATTGTTAGTATTTCTTTCCCCCAGAGTCTAGCCTCAAGAGTGTGGGAGACCTGAGAGGAGACCTTGCCAGTGAAAACTAAGGCAATGAAGTCAGTGTTTTTCTGTGCCCTTTGTCGCTTCACCGTCTCTACCCAGCAATGAGCTCACTCTGTCTTTGGTCTTCCTTTTGTTGGTGCTGTACGTATGAAGCTCATGTTGCCTTTCACATTCCTCACCAGTTTCCACTCCATCTGGGCACTGATCTGCCTGATTCAGTCCTTGCATGCTTGGGCACTGGGTCCATGTGCTTCCTGGGTGGCTTGTCCCTGCTTCCACCTGCATGTATTTTGCAGTTGAGTTGAAGAGTGTTCTGTACGGTTGGAGCTAATGGGCTTTAACATGCCTGCTGTAGATGCTATGCACAGCAGCAGCTTAAGTAGATAATTTGCGTATTAATGCCAGAAACAAGCACGTATATAATGTGCAAAAGTTAGAGACACCACCCTATGATACATGTTTATGCATTCTCACTGCTTAAAAGCTGAAGGAGAGAGAAGGAAAAGTACCATAAAAGGTATGGTCATACCTGTTGGGTCATGCATATGCCAACTCAACACTTCATTGCACTTCTGCAGGAGGGAGAAAAAACAACTTGTATAACTTACATGGTTCCTGCAAGTGGCTTCTGTGTTTCCCCCCACCACTCTGCAACATGAGCTGAATTCAGCAGTAATGTTGGGGGCTGTGTTCTCTCAAAAGCCCTAAAAGGAGAAAAAAAAAAAAGTAGATAGGGATGAAAAGGGTGGTGTTTCTTGGTTTGACAAAGCTCAAGTGTGATTTAAATATGGATAGGTCAAATGAATGACAGAGAATCCATCATTTAGAGAATTATACGGTAATTGAGTTTGGAATGGGCCTCAGGAGGTCGTGTTGTCCAACCTCTGCTAAAAGTTCATGTTCTGTTAAGAGCATTATACAAAATAGAAACAAAAGATGTAAGAGGAAATGCTGAAGAGCTGGAAAATAAAGGGTCTATGCTGAGTAGTAGTGTTTATCATGTTACAAGAATTGGATTAACATATATTGAAAAGAATTGTTGATCTGAAATCCTTGATGGGATCCTGTGGGAAGGAGGTGTACACTTGATGACTTCAAATAATATTTTTAATGACATTATTTATGCAGCTGTCTTTCAAGAAAACCCAAGTTGTCTCTGAATGATTGTAACCATGTTCTAGTGAAAAAGTAACTAGAACTTAACAAAATATCATCAGGGAAGAGACAGCCTATGATTGCTTGATAGGAAAATGTCAGTCAGAAGACCTGCTGCTTGGTGGTTGGTCAGTTTCATCCCAACCAGAAGCCATGCATTGTAAAGCTGCTATGCAAGGAGACTTTAAAGGACCTCCAGAAGATGCTGCTCACTAGAAGTACACAGTTTCACAGCTGTATGAAAGTGGCCTTTGCTCTGGGTAGGCTGAACTTTGAGCACTCAGGTTCAGATATGTTGCTTCCAAAAGCTGGAGGCCATGTGTAATTAGCTTTGCAACTGGACACACTTCACTAAAGGATGCTAACTATCATTTATTAGCGTTTCTATAAAATGATGAAATCTTAAACTAAGGTCTTCCACTTGGGAGCAAATGTTTTTCTGGGTTATTGTAATTGTTCCCTTAAAAACATCAGTTTGGTAGTGGCCAAAAAGGAGGTGAAGTATTAGGAGTTGTTGTGTCTAAAGAAGTTTATACAGAAGAAGTTTTGAAAAAGGGTAACAAGAATGCTTGAAAGTTTTGTGAAAGCTGTGTAGGAGGTGTGACTAGAGGAAGGATTCCTCGCAACAGAAAAGAAGTGAAGAGGCTGATAGAGGTGTACGGTCTGAGTACTTTGGGGGAGGGTGGAAATCAGACTGGGCTGCTGGTTGCTCTAAAACGAGAACTAGGCTTCTGCTTTGATGTTTCCTGAAGCCAAAAGTTTCTTACATCATATAAAAGAGCGCTTCCTTCCTTATCAGCAGTTTGCTTCTCTTCCTCTGATTTTTTTTCTTTGCCCCCCCATGTAGCTTTCTTGGCTGGGTTGACTGTGTGGGCTTGTTAATCCGTGGCAGAAACACTCCACACCCCAGTAAGCTTCAACTGTGCAAGTCTGCTTGAGAGATCATGAGGCTGATGTGTGTCTCTGAAAGGGTAGTTTGAACTTCATGGATTATTTTTTTTTTTTGCTGTCTTTCTGGAAGAAACAGAGAGAAAAATGCACATGAAAGTGTCAGAGGGAGCAATAAATGGAAGTACTGGTGGCTTTAAACCAGACAGTTGGGTTTATTGTAGCAGTAACCTAAATGCTAGTGACCTTTGAACAGAGGCAACTTAGAGATTTAAGTAACCTCCGTAGATGTACATCACTGTAAAGACAAAGTTCAATCTTACCTGTATATGCAAGAAATAGTAATTAAAAAATCAGAGCCATGGGCCCTCTAAAGAGGGCAGCTGGTTAGAGGGGAGCAGCTACGCTTAGTTATGGCTAGGAATCAATTTAGAAAAACAAATAGCACTATCAAACTAATAAATAAAGTAAAAATACCATGTTATATGTAATTTAAAAAAAAAAATTGAAGATTTTCTTTTTGTGGGTCATCTGCCCCAAAACCTCAGGGTAACAAATCACTGCTCAAGAAATACTTTCTGTGGAAAAGGTCAGTTGTTCTGAAGAGACACTGGTAGAAACCCTCAGCATGAAGGCTTGAGCTGGAGGACAGCTGACTTTTATTTCAGGAGATGGATATATTAATGCTATCAGTTAAACAAAAACTCTTTCCATCTACCTCCTCCAATAATCTAGCTTCTCTACACTTTGCCTCACAGCTACTCATGTATATACACTGTGTTTTGGGTCTAAATTGTACGAGTCCTATTGTCAAGAATAAACACGTTTAACCAGTTAACATAGGAGCAAAGTGTCAAGGCTGCCCATATGCTCCGCTTCTGAATGGCTCAGTGAAAAATTTTGGTGTAAAATAATTCTGTCGTATATTAATCCCAACTACTGCAATTTATTTGAAGAACTGAATTGTCTATATTGTTTAATATAGACAATTAATTACATAGGTTTAATACAGTCAAGCTTTTCACAAGCAAAAACACAATCATGAGAAAGAAGGATTTGGTAGGAACTGATTAAAAATGGAGATGAAAATGAAAACAGCAAACATCTTATTTGGAACTTGTTGTTATGGTTTCTTGGTGTCTTTTAAGTGAAAATGTGGAGTTTAAAAGCACATTTCATTGGTTCCCATTCACTTTATTGTTGTTTTTAGAGATTAGCAACTTGAGTGAAAAAGATATCCTTGTTCTGCGTCTTGACTTGACTGATAGAAGCTCTCATGAAGCTGCAACCAACAGTGTTCTTAAACATTTTGGCAAGGTAAGGTGTGCTTCTGGAGTTAAAAATTCTTTTTCTTCTCTAGCTCCTATCCTCGCACTTATGTTTACGTTTCATTTTTATTTTGTTGTATGGTAAATTCACCAGTATCTGCATCTTGCTTAAGTTTCAGTATTAAACATGCCAGAAAGCATCTAGGTTCTCCTTCCTTCTGTTCTTTGCTTCTGGGTTTCAGCAGGCTTTGCAGAGACGTAGCACTGAACAAATAATCACTGGTCACTAAGAAGAACTAAAAGTTTACTTGCTTGATGTCACTAAATTTCTGGACTATCTGGAAAAATCCTCAGCTGTATATTTAGGGCTCAAAATTGTGTATGAAAGTCAGAACCTTTATTTTGTAGTTTTAGTAATGCATGTAATTTGGCTACAATATGGGACAAACCTGGACAGCAGGCACAATTTCCTTGTTTTCCTTGTTTTGTGCATAGTTTTCTTGATTGCGTATTCAGAGTACGGAGTTAAGAGAGTAGCAGTCAGATCCAACCAGTACTAAGTACAACTTGCAAAACTTCAAGCTAGGCCTTTAGTCCACTGGTATTTTGATTTCTCAGTGAAATTCTTGGTCCAAAGTTTGTTTCTTGTGTTCTTTACTCTAGTTCTTTTCTGGTTTTGCACAAAACGTATTTTCCAAGGTCACCTTGAAGGACCTGAGTGTTAAGTGTTATTTGCTACAGTGCAGTCAGGTTGAAAAATGTTGTGTGGAAAACAACTTTGCAGCTGCCACTGTTCCTGTACTAGGAGTTAGAACGTTTTTTTGGCGTCAAACAGTGTGTTCGTGTTTTGTTGACTCAGCTCAAAATGAGCCAGCCATCAATTCAAAGTGGAATATAGTGGAACTAGTGAACCTAGTGAAACTTCTTCAGCAGCTGATACGTCTCACTTGTGTATGTCAGAGACAACACCAGAGGGAAGAGAATAGCCAGTTAACAGGTGCCTGGGGAAGTGCAACTATTAAAGGAAATGTGTTATATTAATATGTCGTTGTGTCTTTCCTGAGATTGATGTTTTGGTCAACAATGGTGGACGCTCCCAACGCTCGCTGTTCGTGGATACAAACCTGGATGTCTACAGTGCCATAATGGAACTCAACTACCTGGGTACAATCTCTTTAACAAAACATGTCCTGAATCACATGATCCAAAGGAAAAAAGGCAAGATCGTTACTGTAAGCAGTGTGATGGGTATCATGGGAGCTCCTCTTGCCTCTGGCTACTGTGCCAGTAAGCATGCTCTGCAGGTAAGTTGAATTGTGTGAGATTTAGCTTCATGGTGTAGCAGACCCACATCAGTTAATGATGTAGCAGAGGACTTTATTCTGTACAGAAAACACAAATCTCCTCTGAAGTTGCACACGGAATATGTAACTTTCTCAGGTTTTGTAAGTCCTTTAAAATTAATTTTCTCTGAAGTGTGAGATGTCTCAGCTCTCAGCCTAGATTTATTTTCCTGACTGAAATTCAAATACCATCTTAGTTGGGCCTAACCACTATGTAATTAAATTACAATGTGAAATACAAGACCTTAGCTTCTGACCTTCAGATGAAGGAATACCTAAATCAGAGGACTATTCTGTTGCATGTAGAAGCCCTAATGTTCTTAGCTTAATTCAGTTATGGAGGAAAAGTCACTGGTGAGAGTTTTAAAACTACAGGAGTTTTGTAGGACAGCAAAGTGAGAACAGTGTGTGATAAAGCAGACTACTTGGAGAAATGAGAATTCCTCATCTAGCTGGGAACATCGGAATGAATCTTCCCAACAGTTCTGAATCTTGCTGTGGTGTGAAGAATTGACAGCTCGTAGTGTCTTAGGAAGGTATCTTCTGCAAAACACTTAACTTTCAGTATTGCTTGTGAAGAGTTTTTGAAAGTAGTCTCATTTGTGTAGAAAAACATAAGAGGAGCTCAGAAAAGTATTGGGGGAAAAAAATGAGGAATCATTTGTTTAACTAGTAAAATTATTTAGATATATTTGTCTTTCACCACTCTTTGACTTCTGCGAAGGTACATGTTGATCTCAGTACAATAAACATCAGCTGTGCTCAGTGATTTTAAAAAACTGACACCATCTTACTCCCTGCTAGATTTAAGCACATAAACAGAGTAAAGAGCTTTGCTTAAGCTATGGGATCAGTATTTTTTTGACAATTTGGCTAAAACCAACAAAAATGTAACAAGTGGCTGACACTGCAAAGCCACTAGACGCTTGACAGAAGCAGAAGATGTAGAAGATGGTGACAGGTCTCTGCTGATAACGTTTTCAGTTAGTGATGAGGGGAGATCTATGCCCTTCGTTTGAGTGGTAGCGATGAAATTGCCCGTTAGAGTCCAGCTTTTGGTTTAAGTCTAGTAGATATAAATTAGAATGCAATGAGCAGAAGCATGGATTCCCTTTGTGCTCCTTTATTAAGTGTTCTTTCAGTTGAATTATCTCTTGGGTGTGGTGTGCCTGGTCTAAGCACGGCTGATTAGTTGCAGAGTACAAGGAGTTCACGTCTTGCTTTAAAATTCTCAGGACTCTGAATCTCATGTTAAGATCAAGAACATGGAAGAAGCTTTAATGAGAGAGCTTATTTTTAATTAATACAGAAATGTTAATAAACTAACTGAACTGCATATATTTTTGTTAGATTCCACCTTTGCTCAATACCCAGGCCAGACTCCAAACCTCCTTTCTTGTTTATTTCACAGTAGTTCTGCAAATACTAATTGCAAGTGGTAAAACATGTGATTTGCAATACAGATTTTGGACAGACTTGGTCTGAGAGTCTCCTGTCAGTCTGGAATTATGACTAGATGTTAGCTTGAAACCCTAAAAAACTAGAAAAGCTTTTTTTTGAAATATCAAACTCCACCAGTACAGTTCAGGTAAAGGAATACCGTAGGAATGGCAGTCCTCTTCAGATAGCCCAGGAGCCCATCTCTGACAATGACTGAAAAGAAATGACTAGAGAGGGGGTAGGGGAAAAATAAGATGAAGCCAAAGTGACGTTTTTCTTGTGTTTTCCAAGCATGTATCAACCTTTGTTCTAAGATCTTCATGAAATGAAGACTGGATTTTGGCCACCAATCATTAAATACGTGTGCCTGTCTGACATGAATTCATCTGTTATGGTTTGGGTTGTTTTTTTTTAATTCATGCCTTGGAGCCTAACGCAGTTGACACCGTTAATGCTACAGTCGTAATCATGCCTTTTTTGAAAAAGTCCCTCCTTTTGTTCTGTTACTGTTTTTTTGGGGCTTTTTTTGTTTTTAATGATTTTTTTTTAAATGGCAGTTGGAGGAGGAAGGAATTCTGCTAAGAATTTAAACTTTTTTCTTGAAACAACCACACTTGGATTCATGCCAACTGGAATTCTTCATAACAATGTTCTACTGATGAGATTACCCTTTATTTCAGTTCTGGGAGTGCTGTAAGAGCATGAGTCAAGTCCACGGGAGTCTGCATCTGACTTACAGTTTCTCTCCTAGTGTGATGATGCTCATGGACATCACGTGCCATTCATTGAGTTGTAATTCATATAATTGGTGGTATGTGGAGTGGATCAGAAATGGTGGCCTTCAAAGTGTTCCTTAATCAGGAACCTGTATAATAAGCACATGGATTGCACTGAACAGCAACCACTACTGTCTTTGTTTAGTCTCTGGTCAGTAGGGGCATTTCTAAATGTTTCCGTCATAGTAGAAGGCAGTTCAGTCTTGCCTTCTTCAGCATCTTCTAGGATTTGGTCACTGAGCTGGAAAACCCCAGAAATGGCTTAAAGCAGTTCTTGTTCACCAGACCCTTTGTCTGCATGTAAGAGCTGGGCTTGGGGGAAACGCTCAGATTCTTCCCCTTGCACTTGAGTTCTCCTTTGAGACTGTTCCTAAATCTGGGTCTGCTCCTGCCTGAATTTAAAGAAAAGAGAGCACTTTATTTTCTTGCCTGGAGAAGAGAAGGCTCTGGGGAGACCTCATATCAGTCTTCCAATATCCAAAGGGAGCTACAGGAGAGATGGGGAGGGACTCTTTGTCAGGGAGTGCAGTGACAGGACAAGGGGTAATGGTTTTAATATTGGAAGAGGGAAGATTTAGATTAGATACCAGGAAGAAATTCTTTGCTGTGAGGGTGGTGAGACACTGGAACAGGTTGCCCAGAGAAGTTGTGGCTGCCCCATCCCTGGAGGGGTTCAAGGCCAGGCTGGATGGGGCTTTGAGCAACCCCTCACCACAGGAAGGACATTGAGGTGCTGGAGCTTTAATGAGAGAGCTTATTTTTAATTAATACAGAAATGTTAATAAACTAACTGAACTGCATATATTTTTGTTAGATTCCACCTTTGCTCAATACCCAGGCCAGACTCCAAACCTCCTTTCTTGTTTATTTCACAGTAGTTCTGCAAATACTAATTGCAAGTGTTAAAACATGTGATTTGCAATATAGATTTTGGACAGACTTGGTCTGAGAGTCTCCTGTCAGTCTGGAATTATGACTAGATGTTAGCTTGAAACCCTAAAAAACTAGAAAAGCTTTTTTTTGAAATATCAAACTCCACCAGTACAGTTCAGGTAAAGGAATACCGTAGGAATGGCAGTCCTCTTCAGATAGCCCAGGAGCCCATCTCTGACAATGACTGAAAAGAAATGACTAGAGAGGGGGTAGGGGAAAAATAAGATGAAGCCAAAGTGACGTTTTTCTTGTGTTTTCCAAGCATGTATCAACCTTTGTTCTAAGATCTTCATGAAATGAAGACTGGATTTTGGCCACCAATCATTAAATACGTGTGCCTGTCTGACATGAATTCATCTGTTATGGTTTGGGTTGTTTTTTTTTAATTCATGCCTTGGAGCCTAACGCAGTTGACACCGTTAATGCTACAGTCGTAATCATGCCTTTTTTGAAAAAGTCCCTCCTTTTGTTCTGTTACTGTTTTTTTGGGGCTTTTTTTGTTTTTAATGATTTTTTTTTAAATGGCAGTTGGAGGAGGAAGGAATTCTGCTAAGAATTTAAACTTTTTTCTTGAAACAACCACACTTGGATTCATGCCAACTGGAATTCTTCATAACAATGTTCTACTGATGAGATTACCCTTTATTTCAGTTCTGGGAGTGCTGTAAGAGCATGAGTCAAGTCCACGGGAGTCTGCATCTGACTTACAGTTTCTCTCCTAGTGTGATGATGCTCATGGACATCACGTGCCATTCATTGAGTTGTAATTCATATAATTGGTGGTATGTGGAGTGGATCAGAAATGGTGGCCTTCAAAGTGTTCCTTAATCAGGAACCTGTATAATAAGCACATGGATTGCACTGAACAACAACCACTACTGTCTTTGTTTAGTCTCTGGTCAGTAGGGGCATTTCTAAATGTTTCCGTCATAGTAGAAGGCAGTTCAGTCTTGCCTTCTTCAGCATCTTCTAGGATTTGGTCACTGAGCTGGAAAACCCCAGAAATGGCTTAGAGCAGTTCTTGTTCACCAGACCCTTTGTCTGCATGTAAGAGCTGGGCTTGGGGGAAACGCTCAGATTCTTCCCCTTGCACTTGAGTTCTCCTTTGAGACTGTTCCTAAATCTGGGTCTGCTCCTGCCTGAATTTAAAGAAAAGAGAGCACTTTATTTTCTTGCCTGGAGAAGAGAAGGCTCCGGGGAGACCTCATATCAGTCTTCCAATATCCAAAGGGAGCTACAGGAGAGATGGGGAGGGACTCTTTGTCAGGGAGTGCAGTGACAGGACAAGGGGTAATGGTTTTAATATTGGAAGAGGGAAGATTTAGATTAGATACCAGGAAGAAATTCTTTGCTGTGAGGGTGGTGAGACACTGGAACAGGTTGCCCAGAGAAGTTGTGGCTGCCCCATCCCTGGAGGGGTTCAAGGCCAGGCTGGATGGGGCTTTGAGCAACCCCTCACCACAGGAAGGACATTGAGGTGCTGGAACGTGTCCAGAGGAGAGCCACCAAGCTGGGGAGGGGTCTGGAGAACAAGTCCTATGAGGAGAGGCTGAGGGAACTGGGCATGTTTAGCTTGGAGAAGAGGAGGCTGAGGGGAGACCTCCTTGCCCTCTCCAACTCCCGGAAAGGAGGGTGTAGAGAGGTGGGGGTTGGCCTCTTCTCCCAAGGGAATAATGACAGGAGCAGAGGAAATGGTCTGAAGTTGGGGCAGGGGAGGTTTAGATGAGATCTTAGGAAGAATGACTTTCCTGAGAGGGTGGTCAGGCACTGGAAAGCCCTGCCCAGGGAGGTGGTGGAGTCACCATCCCTGGAGGTATATGGATGTGGCACTTCAGGGCATGCTCTAGTGCCTGAGATTGTAGGGGGTTGTTTTGTGTGTGTGGTTGGACTCAGTGATCTCAGAGGTCCTGTCCAACCATGACAATTCTGTGATCTAGGGGAGGGCCCAGGTTCTTAATCCAAAACAGCTGGGTGGTTGGCAAATCTGAGATCCTTTCCCATGCGTCCAGAAGCAGACTTCTGGGCATATAAGTGTCTTTATGTTAGAACTTACTCCTCCAGAAATTACACATCTCCTCCAGAAACTACATGTCTCTGTGAAGATCCAATACTAGATATGGGACCTGCAAGTGCTTATAACTTGAAATACGTGGTCAGCTTTTTTACAGAACATAGCTGTGAAGCATGTATGCAAATCTATAAACTGGAATTAGTCACCAGCAATTGGGACGGTGAGGCTGAGGCTCCAGTGGGAGCTAACGATGGGCAGTACCCCCAGTAACGAGGCCCCCAAGTGCTCTGTCGGTGGGACTTGTCCTCAGTAGAGGGGCAGCAAAACCTGGCTGTTGTTTAGAGAAATTACTGTATGTTTGAGAAGTCAAGGATAGATTCTTCAGTGATGTATATATATCAATGATGTGTATAATTGCAGGTAAAATTCTAGATTAGCCAGCGAACACAAAAAGCCAAAAAAAGCAGTAGTAGTTGCTTTTAGTGGAATACTGCTATTTTTATGGTATAAAGAAAATATGTAGTCTGTTAAGCCTTGCTACAAGCAGAAATATGGCAAAGGAAAGTTACATTATGGTAATCTTTTCTTCTAGGGTTTTTTTAATTCTCTTCGGACTGAACTGACTGACTACCCTGGGATAAGTATTATCAACATATGTCCAGGACCTGTGCAGTCTCAGATCATACAAAACGTCTTTACGGAGAATCTGGCAAAGGTAAGGACTCAATTCCGTTGGGAGAAACTCACCTTTTGCTGCAGGCCCCGTTATTCTTTCGTGGCTTTCTTTTCTTTTTCTCCTTGTAGCAGCGCAAGTCAACTTCCTCTTCTTACTAAGGAATGCTTTGATTGGTGCAGAACTATGTATAGTCTTGTAATTCTTTGTGGTATCAAGTCCATACCAAATGAAAATGAAAATGAAATTTGAGAGTCGCTGTGCCTTCTCTCTTCCAACACGTACAATCCAAGCCCAGTAAAATTTACTGTACGGCCACCCTGCTGCAGTTTTAGGGGAAAAGCCAGGGTTTTCTGGACACGGTTCTGCACGCAGAGTAGCATCCTTTCTGCACAGGTAGCTTTGTGTTTGCCCCCGTCGCGGTGCCTCCCCGTTGGGCTGACCCCGTTGCTGGCAGAGCTGCTGGAGTCAGCTGCCGGGCGGCGCGCGCCCCGCTGGTGGGGATTGCTCAAGGGGAAAAAGCAAAACCTCAGAACTGCACTGTTGCCTTTAACAAAGGCTGTCTAACAGAGCAGCTGGCTAAAATTGCTACTGTCATGCATCAAAATGTCATCTGTCCTAAATTCCATCAGTTTAAAGCTTAGGATAACCCAGCAGTGGGAGCCGGGGGGGATAATCTCCCGTTTTTAAATTGAATTCTGAAAGGAATTCTGGCTTGCAAAACTTCATACTTCTGTGAAAGAAAAGATGTACTTTTTGAGCAGTCTGGAATGCTTGCAAAACACATTCCTCAGATTTCAGCGTGGCAAAAGGAGGAGGACTGAATCTAGAGCAGAATTGCTTTTGCTTTGAGAAATAGCAGGGACTGACGGAGCGGTCTGTTACTGCTGGAGTGAGGTGCACATAAACTCACGGGGCTGGGGCTTGTGGTCACCGAGCGATGTGTGTGGACAGGATGACAAGGAGGACATGGCTGCCACTGAAGAAGCCTGTTGCTTTTCTCTTGTTGGAGGTGGCTGCCCCCAGAGGAGAGCTGGCAGGAATGGTTAAGTTGATGGGGAACGTGGCCTCATCTACTAACTTGCAGCATATAACGGGCTGGGCAGCTGGGGAGGAGAAAATTCCTGTTTCTCAGAGGCCTCAGCTGCAGAATGGGTAACTTGTCCTGATACCTCTATTTCACAATAACGTAGAAGCCGTGCTGAAGCAGGATGGATTTAGGGGTCCATTTTTTTTAACCTTCCTTGACCCTTCAATGGAGGCATTAATTAAAAGACTGCTTTATTTAAGCATTGGTGGTAAAGGAAGGTGGTAAGTGTTCCCACACCAAAGACACAAAGTGTCTCCACAACCAAAGTGTTCTCCACAACCAAAGGAGGTTGTGGAGTCCCCTTCTTTGGACATCTTCAAGACCTGCCTTGATGCAGTCCTGAGTGACATGCTCTGACAAGCTCTAGGCAATCCTGCTTCAGCAGGGGAGTTGGACTAGATGATCTCTATGGTTCCTTCCAACTCTAAAAAAAAAAATCAGTGAAATTCAGTGAAAGACTGAGCATAGTGGGGGATGGGGTCCCCAGCCCCAGTCTCTGCTGCACTGGCTGGTCATCCCACTTATCTCCCCACAGTGGAGAAACTGGGAGGAGTACCTCTGTGGCACGGAGCGTGACCCTTCCTGTCCCTCAAAGAGAAGTCCATTTCTGATCCCTCCTGTCTCTCTCTCCCCTCCAGTCCATAGAGAACAGCGGTGACCAGTCCCACAAGATGCCAACCGACCGCTGTGTCCGGCTCACCCTGGTGAGCACAGCCAACGACCTGAAGGAAGCCTGGATCAGTGACCACCCCTACCTGGCTGTTTGCTACCTCTGGCAGTACGCGCCCACCTGGGCTTGGTGGCTGATGAACAGAATGGGCAAGAGGAGGATACAGAACTTCAAGAGCGGAGTGGTAAGTTTATTCCTCTCTCCTCCTGCTGCCAGACTCTTTAGCCACAATAATGTTGGGAATGGGGTTTTGGATCCCTGGCTTTTTTCTCTCCTCACTTCCCTGGCAGCTGGTGCCAGGTCAGGCTCCAGCGCCTGGTTGTCTAGGATGGCTGCAGCCTGTTTTTTCTGTTTAATATATGCACCTGTATATTCTGGTGCAGAATTTGGTACAGGCAATGCTCTTCGCAGTCTCTTCTAAGCTGTGACCTGAAAGCTCTTTGGAAAGGCAGGTAAGCTTTATGGAACAAACCAATTAACCGGCCATTTTCATTAGAGATCCTGCCCACTTCCCAGGTCAGAGAGAGAGGAGCACGTGATAGGAAACTTGGGCTTGGGAAATTAAAATCACTTCAGTCTTTTACTGTGAGGGTGGCAGTGAGGAGGAGGAGGAAGGTCAGTGCTGAGGGTGATGGAACAGCAAGAGCGATGAGAATTATTACAAACATTTAACGGTTCTTAGGGACAGGATGACACATTTTGCAAAATAATCTCTTTCTTGACTGCTGGAGCTCAATATTTAATATTAAATTTAATTTAACTTATTGGTGATCCAGGATATAAAACTACAGACAAATCTTGGAAGCAGGTTTCTAAAAATATTTCAAAGCAGCTCTGAAATATAGAGATACTGAATCATTGGGAGGAAGAAGCCAGCCCCAGCTGGGGTAGCAGATAGAAGGAAGGTGCACAGAAGGACAGCATGAATCTTGTGCTGTCGGGGTGTCCTCTCAACCCCGGCCATCTCAGCAGGGCAGAATTCCTGGGCAGCTGCTCTGGGGGAAGAATAAAAAGCTCCCCACCTTGCCAGACATCGGGAAGGACCGTGTGTGGTTTGCAGAGCTGTAGTTGGACTCTAGAGGTCTTGAGCTCCATAAATGAGCCATTGTAGATAGCTGAGCTAGTGTAAATTGTTTCATTAAGACTTGAAAACGTCTCTCTTGGTTGTGTCTAGTTTTTATATCGGAGACGTGATCTGAGCAGCTCCTGGGGTGCGTTAAGCAATGCCACTGTCTGGCAGGGGCTTCACCCACGTTTCCATCCCTGAAGGCAGGAGTGCAGCGCAGCGATCTGTTGGTGCAACTCTGCTTGGTAGATGGTGCTTTTCCTTCTGGGTTTTTGCTGAACTTGGTGCAAAAAAAAAAAACATGTAAAAGTACTCCAAAAGCAGGAAATGCAAAAATAAGGGAAGCACCTGCAGCTTAAAGCTTCTTACTCCCACACTGTAAGGGCCCGCTGTCACAAACTGTGTCAAGCGGAGTAACACCGTGGGTGGAGGACTTAAGTAAGGGGAGGAAATACCAATTTTATGTGTTCTCACTCCAGGACGCTGATGCCTCTTACTCAAGAAAGAAGAAGTAAAGACAAACGTGTACAAAATCCTGCTTGTGCTAAGACTGAGAATTTTTTTTCATATTACGTGACTGCAAGCAAAAGCTTTTTTTATCTGTTGTGCCTTTGTCGTCATGTAACTCGACAAATCTATCAAGCTGTATACACATTTGACTAAATAAAAATCTCTTTTAAGCAAACCTGTTTCGTGTCAGACTCCCAGGGGCGGAATCGTTAAGCTTCCAAGAACTGAGACAGAAGAGGCCAGGCAGCATTATTTTGTTTTTCTGCTGCTATGACACTGGCAAACACTTAGCAAGCAGGCTAAGAGTCATATACCCAGAGGATCCTGTTTCCCTCACTCTTTTTCATTACTAACGGACCTTCAACACGAAGACCCCAAGTAGAAGCTTGTGATGTAAAAGGCAAGGAGGTACAGCCTGTGGTTGAAGCATTCCTTTGCGAAAAGATTATATTTCTTCTTTGCTGGAGGGGTGGTCTGAGAGCAAAATACATCATGTGTATTTAGAGCTAAATCCTTTAACTTCTGGCACAACTTAGTCTTTAGGTCCCTCGGCACCACGGCTGAGTTCTCAGTCTTCTGGTTGTTTTGTAAAGTCTGAGACAGGCAGAGCATGTCAAAGCCGTGGGGAGGGGAGAGGGCGATGGTGGAAGTGTAACCCCTGTGGTTGGCAGCTCCAAATCTCTAGAGCATCAAGGGGAGAGGAACAGGGAGAGTTCCTGTAGCAGAAGAGCCTGTAGCTGTGAGGGGGGACGTGCTATTAATGAGAAATCTAACTCTGCAGCAGATCACTCCCAGCCAAAACACCAGAGCTGGTGTTGGAGCTGCCTGGGGGCAGCTGTTGCAGGACAGGCAAGTCAAGCATGAAACAGAGGCTGAGTTCCCAGTTTGGTGGGACACGGGCCCTGCTGCACGGAGCAGAGGCCAGGTGCAGCAATGCAGGTGTTCCTGGTACCGGGCAGGAACAGCCCCAAGGAACCAGGGATTGATCTTACAGGTTAGGGGTGGACCTGCTGGAGGCAACTTCTGAAGAGAAAAATCTAGGGGTCCTGGTAGACAGCAAAATGACAATGAGCAAGCAGTGTGCTCTTGTGGCCAGGAAGGCCAACGGAATCCTGGGCTGCCTAGGGAAAAGTGTGGCCAGCAGGTCAAGGGAGGTCATTCTCCCTCTCTACTCTGCACTGGTGAGGCCACAGCTGGAATGCTGCGTCCAGTTCTGGGCTCCCCGGTTCAAGAGAGACAGGGAACTGCTGGAGAGAGTCCAGCGTAGGGTAACAAAGATGATTCAAGGATTGGAGCATCTCCGTTACGAAGAAAGACTGAGAGAGCTGGGACTCTTTAGTCTGGAGAAGAGAAGGCTGAGAGGAGACCTTATTAATGCTTCCAAGGATCTAAAGGGTGGGTTGAAGGAGGAGGGAGCCAGACTCTTTTCAGTGGTTCCCAGTGACAGGACGAGGGGCAACGGGCACAAGTTGGAACATAGGAGGTTCCACTCAAATATGAGGAAAAACTTCTTCACAGTGAGGGTGGCAGAGCCCTGGAAGAGGCTGCCCAGGGAGGGTGTGGAGTCCCCTTCTCTGGAGATTTTCAAGACCCGCCTGGATGCCGTCCTGAGTGACATGCTCTGACAAGCTCTAGGCAATCCTGCTTCAGCGGGGGAGTTGGACTAGATGATCTCTATGGTGCCTTCCAACTCTAAAATTCAGTGAAATTACCATCTCACTGACTCCCAATTCAACCATTAGCTAAAAGTACCTCTGTGGTGGTTACTCGTCTGTACTTACAAGGCTGGTGACCTTCTTCCTGTTGACAAAGGCCTCAGTAACACTGGGACGTGCCTCAGGCCACACATGGTCCAGGTAAGAAAAATTCTTACTTATATCATTGAGTGATAATAAATTTATAAATTATTGAACACTTCCAGCCATAACAAGGAGTAAGTCAAGAGTCATGTTTTTAACGTGACATTTAAGAAATATGGTAAATACTGTCTGGAAAAAAAAAACCCACACCAAACTTGACCAAGGATGATGAATGTCGTGTCTCACGCCGTTCTGGAAGAACGGAGGGTTCCTTTGACTCGCTAACGCTCCAGTTCTTGGATTGTGGTTGTGAAATGTGCTAAAAGGGCAGCAGTGAGTCTGCATGAGACTGCAGCAGCTCCCAATCCAGCCCACACGCAGGTGATGGTCACAGGATGCTTCAGTTTCCATCCCCTGACGCACAGCAGATATGGCAGTACGGGTGCAGCAGGTAACGAGTAAGGGGCTGCAGGAGGCAGGGCCTGGGACAGCAGGCAGAGGATGGAGCGGCGGGGATCTCTGCTGGGATGGTACCAGCGATGCTTTTCCAGAAGGCTTGATGGCTGAGGGAGAGAACCAGAGGAAAGGGAGAGAAAAACCATCCCAGCTCTCTTCAGCTTTTCTCAACTGGTTTATTCAATTTACAGAAAAAATAGGAGGAGGGCAGAAATTATAATCATCTTCAAATAAAAGACTGCTTCTGCAAAAAAGGTAAGTAAATTTCCTGTGATGGTACAGAAAACAAGTAGTAAAAGGCTTACAATGGGGCAGGGAGGTTTAATTAGATGTAGGGAAAAATCCAAACTTTCCAACTGCTGTAAGAACAGCAAAGAAGGGAACTAGCTGACGAGTTCATGATACTCCTGGTATGGAAAGTTTTTAATCAGATTAAACATTTGCCAGGAATAGTTCCTTTGGAGATGGAGCCGATGTAGGTGCTCTCTAAAAGCTCCTTCTGGACCAGCTTCATCACTCTCTTTGCTGGCACAATTCATGGCCAAGCCAGGTGACTTTAGGTTATTGGCAGTTTCTCATCTATGCTCCTGCACCCCCAACAGTCACCTCCTAAAGCTGCTTCCATCGATGTTCTGTGTGAATTCCATCCTGCACATGAAGGTGTTGTACCACAGGCTCTGACAGGTGTTTCCTTTCCACATCTGAATTCCACTCCACCATTTGCCTATTTTTTTTTTTAAGATCCTTTCTGGTCACCAATCAAAAGAAATGGCCAACAGCCAAGTAATAAACATGCTCCAAAATGTACAACACTGGGTGTTCTAAGCTAGTACAGAGCAGAGCTGATTTAAATCTATTCTACAGGTTGAAAAAGACAATTCCCTACCCCCTGCTTGGCACAGGCCAGCAGCGACCGCCCTGGAGCTACTGATCTACAGGGAAAACACATTTACCTGCTAAGGCAAGCAGTAACCAACAGGATAAACAAGCCACTGGAGAGATGACCCAGAGCCCTCTTCAAGGACCTGTAACACTGCAAACCAACCTTAAAATTCTGTTCTGACCTCTGGTGTGGCTTAAAAAAACAAATAATAAATTAATTCTTGCACAGACAGCTGGATTCTGGCTCCCTGTCATCAGGCTCTCGCTGTATTTGTGGAAGACTGGTTAGTGATGTGGATGTAGATTGCAAAAAAATCCACATATATTTTTAGATATAAAAAAATACATGGATATTGGAAGGAGGAAATGAAATTAAGCCATTTGGACTTAAATTCCTTCTCTCCCCTAATTGCACGTCTGCTTTCACCAGTAGGTCACGCAGGTGTTTAATGTGTCAGAATGCAGAATTTTATATAAATTCTCTTTGCTCCCAAAACAAGTATTCAGAATACAGAATTTTATATAAATTCTCTCTGCTCCCAAAACAAGTACTTTGGTAAAAATCATCCCTTACAACTTACTTTGTTAAAGCAGAGCTGATAACTTACTACAACTAAGAAAGATCAGCTAAAGTCTTACATTTTAACAAATGCCGAAATTGAAGTCAGTCAAATATAAAATGGCCAGAATAATAATAATAATAAAAAAATCATATAAATAGCTGTATGTACACTTTGGTTACCAACTCTGTGGTTCACGGTACTACAGTGAGCTGTAACCTGACTGTCAGTGCAAGTCACCTGTCCAACTATTAAAAAGAACAAAAAATATATATATAAAAAAATCAGAACACACCAAAAATAGTTAATGATCGGAATGATGCTGCTCTTCTCTAAACTGGAGAAGAGAATTTCAGCACCTCCTGGCTCGTCAGCCGCACGGGCAACGGTGTCTCACGTGTTCCAGCAACAAGAAACTGGTTCAAAACTTCCTGCCTGCTGAAGGTTCTGGGCGGCACCATTTCCATGCACATTCCATCCGCTGGCTTGGCCCTGCCACCCAACGCCCTTTGGGGAGTAAAACCTAATTTACAGTGCACAGATGTAGCAATGAACATTTGCTTCCCCGCATGCAGATGGAAAATACAAAATAATAATTAAAAAGGGCTAGAGCAGAGGCAGATGCAGCAGTTCGGAAGAATAGATGGGGTAGCCAAGGGGTGGGTCTGCAGCCTGCACGGTGAGGTTGCGCAGCAGGACGGGGTGTGCCTGGATGCTGTACCGCTCCTCGTCGTCGTTGGTGGCGTACAGCAGCTCCCAGGACAGATTGGCCCACTGACCTCGGACGGCTTCGTCGTTAAGTTTTCCCACTTGTACTAACAACTCCTGAAGAGTGAGGACTCGCCCGGTGTAAATTCCCTTTAAGAGAAAAACGGATCAAAACGTTCAGTACGTTCTCCAAGCATTTTGGTTAAAAAGCACTAAATCAAGCAGCGAAGCTCCATACTATGAGTATCGGCCCTTTAAAAATGGCAAAGTGTGTGAACTAGTCTCCTTGGTTCAAATCTTCCATCCAGGAAGGAGTCAGGAAATCCTGCTGCATCCAAAGAACCACGTGGTGTGACTTTCAACAACAGTGGTGCCAACTCCTGTCTGGTGCAAGCAAACCCTGGTTGCACAGCCTTCAGGTTTTAGAACACAATTAAAAAGAAGAAAAAAACCCCCAGACAGTGGAAATGAAAAGCAAACTTTGACCTTGCTTACTAGTCATTTGTCTTCTTACCATGTTTGGGTCATGCCCCAGTGAAAAAAGGTATGGCTTTTCCTGAAGAACTGCTTGCTGCCACTCAAGATCCGATACCAGCCCGATGTACCAGTCGTTTTCATATTCTTCCAGATAGTTAACCAGCTCTTTGAAGTTCTCAACTGGACCCAGGCTTGCTTTGTCAACCATAAGTTTAAAAGTGTATCTGAAAGGCACAGAGCCGTACAGTAAGTAGGACAAAAGACGGGAGGAAAAAAGCCTCTTCAGGCTAGAAAAGGCAGAGAGGCCCCATCAGATGTTATCAAGCACTACCAACTTTGGAAGTTACTGCTTGTCAGCTGAGGCGCTAGAAGTGAGTATGGGGATGCTTTTAGCTCAATCAGATGTAAAACACATTAGCTTAAACATCCTTCATTCACCTCAAACGCTGTTACCCTGTTACTGCTGCCTGATAATGGAAAGTGCCAAACATCTCACTTCATCGCAGTTCTCTTAGTTTATGGGGACAATGAAAATGGGTGGGTTTCACCCCACTTATCACAGCAGATTTCCAGTGTTGGAGGCAGCTGCTTTGAGGAAGGGAAGAAGGAAGGAACCTCCAAATCACAGCCTTCACTGCCTGGGGTTACAGGCAATATTTATGGAGGAAGAAGCTAAAAATATATTTAAATGATATGGTTTTAACACGAACTACTCTTAGAGAAGTGATACTTACTTTCGAAGCACAGGGTTCTTTATATAATTTTTATGATAGGAGGGAATATTTTTCCTTTACCTGAAGGCTTTCAGTGCAAGCTGGAAGAGCTCCGGTTTGCCGGTTAGCCAGTCCAAACCAACAGACCATGGGATGCCACCAGTGTAGGCTCTGAACACGTGGCTCGGGGCAGGCACGGTGTTATCCAGTCCAAACAGACCAAAACAACACGACAGTACTCCATGGACATATAAGTCTTTCAAAGCTTTGTCTTTCATAAGGTCTTCAAGTAAATTGAAAGGCTTTTCTTTCAGATGAAAAAAGTCCAGCTGACTCAAAATGAAGTGGTACCATTCTTCTGGAAACCTCTGCCTCATTTCATTGACTTTGGATGTAGGCACCGGGGCTGTTCTCCATTCTTCAGGGATGCTCAACAGCTCTGAGTAAGAGCAACTAAATGTAACCTGAGGTAAAACTTCTTCCTGTTTCCCTTTGTCTACAACAGGAAGGCCAAGCACAACAGCCCTGTATAACTTATCTTCTGGTGACATCTCTTGTGGGATGTCTTGGCTCTGTGTGTCTACAGATCCTGGAATAGACAGATGTACTCTTGGTGTAGTTCCCCACTGCCCAGGTTCTTTTCTGTCTTTCGTTCTGGTTTCAAGATCAAAAATGTCACTATCATCAGTCCAGTCCTCGATTGTATCAACGCTAAAACTATCTTCTTCCCTCAGAGGCCTGGATCTTTCTACCACACTGCTATGCTGATTTTCTGGAAATGATCCTTTTTTGTTCTTGTCGGCACTGCCCAGGCTTTCCCAGGTTTTTGATTTTTTATAACAATACTGGACAAGCATCCATACAAGCACTTTAATGAAATCATCTTTCAAATGCTTTAAATTCTCATGAGAGTCAATTATTCCAGATAACACATTTCTGGCATCAGAATACAGCCGTACGGGTAGAACAGTACAAGGAGTCAAAATGTGTCCAAAATGGTGATTAGGAGAGAGAATCTTTGTCTGCTCCTGATGCTTGAAGGCCATTTCAAAAATTTCATCAACTCTGTGAGCTTCAGCAGCATGACAGGATGTTTCCTGCAATTCTAGCCCCTAAAGCATAAATGAAAACTATTTGGTTTTACTCTTCCCCAGTACATCGCCTCCAATGACAGCAAGCTGTTTTCTCCCAACAGAATTTTTCTGAACAAATAAAGATACATTCCATTATCAATATTTCCACAACTCAACCTACAAATCTAACTAGAAATAATAGCAAAGCACTCACCGCAATATTAGACACAGATCTGTGTCTTAAAAAATAAATCTTTGCCTCACAATGTCACAATCTAGATGATAAAAAATTTCACATCTGCTAAGCACGTCAGTGGCAAGATTAGTTAATATAGCAATAACACTCATCTTAAGAAAAATGACCATAACATCAGGTAAATGAGTTACATTGTTGAAATAGTATACAGAAAAATGTTTGCACGATATCCAAACAATAAAGTCAGCCATCAGCAGTTACCTTAATGTTAACACCGCAGTATGTGAAGCCCTTCTCTAGCACCAGAATCCACATCAGCCTGTCCTGCAAACGGCACAAGTAATGGGATCCAGGGAGAGAGAGACCTGGGCAAGAAAAAAAAAAAAAGAAAACTAGGGTATTACTGGGGCATTACTGTGATGAAAACCTGAGGAATTCAACTGCAAACACAACATATGTCTGCATCTGCATCGGAAATCGGTTAAAACTGACTAAATAGTACCCTACAATCTTAAAGGAACTAGCTGCAAAGCTAGATCTTGAAATTGTAGTGGTATCTTTGAAAAAGCTGTGGAAAACCGGGAAACCCTCACCGAAATGCAGGACTACAACAGTCATACTGGACCAGAATGAAGCAACCCCACGTTCAATTCCTGCTGCAGACATGACACTCACGATAAAGACCATCTTTGGCTGCGTTTCCAAGTGCACGGTTTCCACTGATGTCACCTGGAGATCCAAAGTTCTTATGACTGCTGAGTACATTAAAGAATTGTCATCTAGCACACAAGTACCTTCATGCCCCTATTTGCTGTGGAGTACGAAGGTTATTTGTTATGGGAGAAATAAAAGTGTAACTTAACAGGATTTGTTGCCTACACTGCCAGTTCCTAAATTGACTTGTCTGTGTTCCAGAATGATTAGAAAACATCCCTTAGGATGCGAATTCCGGAGCTTAAATGATTCTGCTCAGATGTCAGCTTACCAATGACATCATATCCCACCCATTCTACAGACACATTGAGGCAGAGAGATAAAGATCCACATTTTCAAGAGCACCTGCTCAACTTTAAAAGATTTGTGAATCAGTATCAGACACGTTGAACACTAACAGCAGATAGACTACAGATGATTTTTACTGTATCTGAAATACCTCTGTGTGTGTGTATAACAGAACTGATCCCACTGCCTTAAGTTTGACATCACCAAAAATACAGCCACACAAAACAAACTGGGATTTGAAAATTTAAGTCCTGAACAACTTCAGATCACACAAAGTACTCAAAGTACTCAAAAAATCTCACAATCTGACTGTCACTGTAAAAAATACACTTATGTCCAAAAAAGGTCCCTTTTCTCTCTCTTACCTATTTCAACGAAAAGTGCAACATCAAGCTTCCTAGCGACTGGTGGTTTTACTGTATTTCTTTTAAGTTACAGCCTACTGGCAACTTCTTCTGTACAATGGTGCTGTTCTTAAGCATGACATTTGCTGCCAGTTTATGACCTGCTTCTGCTCTCACTCACATCCAAGTGATCGCTCACTTGCACAGAGTTTTAGCTTTAGAATATTGTAAAATGAAAGCAGTGAAACCAACCATTAAGCTGTAGTTAAAATTTAAGCAACCTTTTCTATCCCACTGAGCTAATGAAGTGCATTTTCTTGCTAACATTTTGCAAAGATTTTAATTCTTTTCTAGCTAGCTACTAAAACTTCTTTACATCAAAAAAGTACGGTTTTAAATTAAAACACACACACACAAAGTGGTACCTCTTCATTTTTAACTCATCTGAGAACACCACATTTTTTTCTTGCTTGAAGACATTAATTCATAGGTTTTCATATTAAAGAGACTTTTTCTCCCTCTCAAGACTAGTGTTTAAATTATTTAGTCTGAGGCATACATGCCTCCGCAGTCATGATGGCAATGGGGAAATACATATCTACATCTATAATATGTATAGATAGAAAATAGATAGATATAACAGATAGAAATATATTGATATTATCTATATAAAAATATATCTATTATATATAAAACACATACATAAGCTGATGCAGTAGGCAAACTGAAGTGTCTCTCCTCTTTAGAGGAAAAAAGATTCCTAGTTTTGTTTTTTTTAATAAAAAACCACACCAGTAGTAAAACTGCAGGAAATGTTTCCTAGTAAGGCACGTGCACACAGGCTTCAGAAAAGTGTGACTAAGATTAACTTCCACGGTCTTCAAATATTAGTTCTAGTCATTTTCCAAGAGGTTTGTGTAAATATTTGCTTTTTGTCTAAGGGCAACAATCCTTTGATGATTTAGGTTACACAAAGAGTGTTTCTCAAGAAAACAAGCTTGCAATTTTAACAGTTATTCTGTCTCCAGGTGGGAAAGAGACTGTGCATTTCTTCACCTCTGTTTATATCATTCCGTGAAATACCCATCATGATGTCTTTCACAGGCCTTAAGACCAGAAGTCCTGTTACAACCCTACCCTAACAAGATATGACATTAAGTCTTATCAACTCGTTCTGTTCTCAACTGTTTACTGCTAGTTAGGCTACACCGTGGATTTTACAAACATCCAGTCCATATTCATGATAGTCAAATTAGCAATGATCATAGAATCACAGAATCGTTCAGGTTGGAAGAGACCCTTGGGATCATTGAGTCCAACCATCTACCCTACTCTACAAAGCCCTCCCCTACACCATATCCCTCAGTACCCCATCTAAACGTCCCTTAAACACAGCCAGGGATGGTGACTCAACCACCTCCCTGGGCAGCCTATTCCAATGCCTGACCACTCTCTCTGTGAAAAATTCCTTCCTAATATTCAGTCTAAATCCTGAGTAATGGGATTGATGCAGAGAAAAGACACATACGTACACAGCCACGAAGAACAGCCTGATACACTTCCTTATCTCTACTGTTAAGAGAACTCCTCAATTTATTGCCTACAATTAGGTTCAGTATAAAAAGATTAGGACTGATCCTGTTTTCATCACCATTTAGTTTCTCCTTATTTCAAAGATAACACACCACAATTATTGTCTTACAGGAACGTAACAAGTAGAGGTGTACAAGAAGGATAAAAATAATCACTTTTTCCTCAACTGAACAATCTCTGAATGTCAGATTTAACCTACGCCACGAAACGTGGTTTAAATCAGATGCTACGATTCTCCTGTTATCGAGCAAAATCACGTTTCCTAAATACATTTTAGCTAGGTTGCTGCCAGCACACCTACCTAAGCTACCAGCTGCCAGTGCAGACTGCAGAGCCACAGCCAGACTCGGAACCATCTGCTGGTAGTAGACGGTGTCGGAGCAAACACAGGCTGTAGCTCCCACGGGTCCTGGCCAGCTCCGGATAGGTCTGGGAAACCCGATCAGAAACACCGGTAGCGTGAAGAGCGGCAGCAGGGGAGAAGAAAGGAGAGCAGAGATGGTGATGAAGGTCAGCAGGATTGGGAAGAAAACGACGTTGAGTGTGATTAAGGTGCCGGTCGATTTGCGACGTTGTTTTTTCTCTGTCCACGATGTCAAAAGAAGAGCTACGGCAAACTGCAGCTTTGAGACAAACTGGAGCAGTCGATCCCGTAGGATACCGACCTGCAAGACACGTGGAAACAGCGAGTTTGTTTGTATCGTGTATCATGCCATGTTCATCACTGCCAAACCTGCCTCATCTACAATTCTAAGAAAATGAGGCGTGATTATCACTGACTGGTGTTAGAATGCAAACCTTAGCACAGTTTTTAGCCTCTGACTGCTAGGTCCTGAACTCTGTAATTCTCTAATACGGGAGGGCAAGGAAACAAAGACTTTAAGTGGCAACTATCTGCTTAAATTTACAATATGACAATTACCAGCAGGAGTCTGATTCCTGTATCGAGGCTCTTGTTCCACCAGAGTTCTGGGTTTAACACCACCATTTGTGTTATTGACACAACCACAATGTCCAGGAGGGCATTTTCTGTATTCTGCCAGACCTAAAATAGAGGTATGTTAGACATACATTTGAAAATGTATTTATCTATCTCTGCTTTTGTGACCTGGAATATTTCTTCCCAGGCACCTTAATACTTAAATCATGTAGAAGAGAATTTCTTAGGCCAAAATATTTAAAATCCACATTACCATCCTATATATTCTTGTGAATCCAATGCAAACAGACACAGAATGAAGATTTTGGAGTGAACGGTCTAGTGACAGGAATGCTATCATAGCAAACGGAGACACTGTAATTGAAATAAAAGAAATAATTGATTTTCTTTCAAAAACGTAATTAAAATCCACAGAGGTAAGCAGTCTTATTGCATAATGGAAATCTTGGCATAAAGAGAACTCTTCCTTTCATTATTACAAACTCCTCTTTGTATTACACTTCCAGGATATCAAACAGCATATTTGTACTAATAGCCCAAGATGGCAAACATTTACGTTGATGCTTAGCTGTAATTTGCTATTACTTTTTCTGGTGTTTGCTTTTCCCCAGCAGAATGGGAACATTCAAATAAGTAAAAATAAACATGGGAATAGCACTCATTAATCCATTTCCCCAAACTGGTGCTTCTTTATGAAATTAAATAATTTACATCAAATTTTGGTTCCCCAAAAGTAGATACATTTTCCCTAACCTACCACAAAGGAGACTGTTCCCTTTACTAGCAAGTTGTACGAACCAAGTATTTAGTCAACTTGAAGACTCTCAACTCACTTTTGTTTCTGAGTACCTTTTAAAAAAAAAAAAAAAATCTAAGAGGTCCATTTTTTCAAAAGTAAGTACTGATGTAGAGCTAAAATCCTTTAAAAGGCCTTGCTTTCTGAACTGGACTTTTAAAAAGCTCAACTTTTAGGTTTACCCCTAAAAGAAGACATAAATAAAATCACTAATCACTTTCAGATATTCTGAACCAGCAATTTTGACCTCGATGCACAATTTAGCACAACATCAACAAATATTTCCATCAACTTGTTTTTTCTTAGTTCATTCATAGAACCTTGCACATACAGTAATTCTAGCGTTGTTTCAATCTTGCCACAAGCATCATCTAACAAACAACAGACAGTGCGTATTCCTACCTAGTGTTAGTAAAATCCTCCTGACAACACCAACTTTCATTAGCCTTCTTTGCTTCTCCATGAACACAGTCACAGTCCTGACATCCTTTGGATAAAAGGGGTTTCGGAAGACTCCAAACAAGTACACTCTCTGAATCTCTCTAAGAATCCACATAATTATAAGTAATATGATCAGAACGTAACTCGCTATGGCCTGAGGACTGGCTTTGGAAAATGATGAAAAGCCTGCGAATTGATGAAGCAGGCTAGCTTCTATGAGAGCAAACATCAAAACAGTCAAATAAAAAATAAATTCCCTCCACCCAAAATGCATTCTAAGACCTCTGTGCGTATTTTTAGATTTGCTGGAGGCTAAATGGCTGATCATGGTGTGTTTGAAGGCAAACCCAATCTCGCTTAGGTTAAGACTCAGTATGAACCCAAATCCAGTCATGAAGAGGATCACACCGAGAGTGCTGGGAATGAAATACGATGCTAGTGCTGTTCCAGCAGAAATGAGAAACATTACTAACAACCTGTGAAGGAGAAAATAAAAAAGATTTGCTTGAAAAGAAAAAGGTTATAAACAATATTGATATATTTTACAATTATATAAACAACATTTACTTTGTGTTACTTGACATAGGTGAACCTCCTAGTCCAAACTCCAACAGCTGTTCCATTCCCCATAGAAAAAGTGCGTCAAGCGGGGGCAGAATTCCCACTGCCCATAAGAACGGCAGAAAAGGAAATATGATGTGCAAAATCTGGTTTATCTGTTCTAGAATGGGTGTGTTGACAGCAAACCTGGATAAAAGAAGAAATGCATTTGAATTCTGTGAAAGAAAAGATAACTGCTGTGGGGGAAGACTTTTCTTTTTTAATTACTACAGCAAATCCAGAAGTATAAACATAACATATTTTATCTTCAAAGTCTCAAAGAGTGCCTCTTAAAAGGAAAAATAAGGACATAAATGTATGCTTGGGGCAGTAATACAGTAATGAGAACATCAGAACGCAGGATAATTTTTCATTCAAAAGATCTGAAGCCTTCAGATTACACAGATGAGTCAAGTGATGCAAGAATCCTCATTGTTTTGAGACTGTTGTGATAATACACTCAAGAAATACTTGTGCAAAACCAAAAGGTCCAGATCTCAATCGTTTAACAAGAAAAGGTAAGCATTTTTTCAAAATCACAAAAGCAAAAACTTATCCAAGTCCAAGACCCAAGATGTAAGCATTAACACTGAAAGAACTGGCACGTTGCCTGTACACTATACATAAAAACTATCTTTATGAATACAAAGTGTCATCTTCTACATAAAAGTATTAAAATTTTCTTGTAAGAATTCAGAGGTCATTATTAGGAATCTGCATAAATTCTAAGTGATATATAGTTCAATAGCTAGCTAATTAACTTAAAGGTGGACTGCTAAGATATTTGGGTTCTCTCTATTTCTTAATAAATAAATAAGTAAGCCTCAAAGGAATTTTGTCAGGACTTTAAAGAACATCTGAATTTTCTCCTCAGGAAATTAGATAAAAGAATTTGGGATCCAAGACCATGTGTCTACTTCTCATATCATAATTGAAGAGGCAACCCAAATCATTAACAAAGACATCTCCAAGCGCAAAACTAGTAAAATCAAACATGCTTTTTAAAAAATGCATTTGAAGTACCCCAACCATAAAATATGTACATGTAACAAAGTGATATAAATATCACCTGACAGGGAGAAAGAATGCATAAAGTAAACCTAAAAGCATCTTGCTTTAAGGATTCTACAAATACTTTAGCTAAGACATTATTCTGAAAAGTGGAAATATAGAAGTCTCCTATTTGTAGACTGATATAGTTCTTTTGTATTACAAAAGCATTTAAAAATCCAAGTTCAAAATCCATATAATAAAGATACACCAACGCTCACATTTGCTTATTCATACATGCAAACCAAATTAATTGTGCTTTTTCTGCACGCAACTTATAACCCTCTGCAATCACTTTGCAAAGATTAAATCAGAAAATATTCCAGGGTGAAATCAGGATATAAATCCAGTACTCCTGAAATGTGCAGTGTTCAGATCTATGATTCCAGGTCAGGAACATGTTTTTTTTCCCAAAAACATACTCTCTAAAAAAGGACGTTGATGCAAATGCTTTTGTACAAAAATACTGAAATTGAAACTAAATGATAGTTTTAGCTGTCCCTTACTTAGAAATCTCTTCCTAATTTACGTAGAATGCTATAAAAATTTAAAAACAACAGCACAGAGCATTTTTACCATATACTCTTCTATCTTCTTCCTTTGTACTTTCTACAGTTGATTAAAATCTCAAAATAATTCTCATTAAAAACATATAGAATAACCATTACTTTAATGAGCTAAATGCTGTATTATGTTTACCTGTGTGCAAGATCCACTGTAATAAAGACAAAAATGTAGAAAGGTCTCATCAGAGCTGTGATTTCGTAAGTATCCAGTGCTTGGAATGTAGCTGTTTCGGTAGCTGTATTTATGATTAACGAATATTCGCCTATACATATAGTCACCCATCCAAACACAAAGATCATAACAGTTCCTCCAATGCTGCTATACAGCAAGGTTATTCTGTTTGGCAGCAAATACCAAGTTCCCAACCCACACAATACCCCTGCCAGAAGGGAGTGAAATACAGTGTTGATCATATACTTCTTGCCAGGAATAATAAATTTTACTGTCTCTGAACCTACACAGCTGGAAAATTCAAACTCATCTTCATCTGTGAGGGTATTCTGAATTTGCATTCTTTCTATTGTCACTGTTTTCTGTTTTGCATATAGGTTTGTCAGCTGAAGAATAAGTGCAGTAACAAACATCAGTCCTCCTGAGAGTGCTGCGGTATAGTAGTCTTTCATAACTCCTAACTGGTACAAAAGTGTTCCTACTCCTCCCAAAACCCATGGCATCAAGAAAAGGATAATCTGATTCACATATATGTAAGGAGGGGCACAATAGCCTAATTTAAACCGGGGACCTCCCAGCACAGTCTGTGGAAAGCGCTTCAAGAAGAACTCCTGTTTGTAATCATTCAGCAGAGGCACATCTGGACCCATTCTTATTACTCAGGAATGCTGGATGAATATCATTTTTCCTGTAAGAGAACGGAAAGAAAGAAGGAAACATTATTGAATCTGGAACTCAGAACTTATCCAGGGAATTCTTTGGTCCTGTCTTCATGTACTAACTTACAGTGGAATTCTGACATGTTAGCATTACCAGATATCATCCTAAAGCACCAAAAGAATCTGCTAGAAACTAGTAAACACCTAAAGAAACTATTAAACAAACACTTAAAATGGAAAAAACATTATTTATTTTAAAATAAAAAATATGTTCACAATCTGAAGCTTTAGGCAACAAAAAACCCACATACAATCGGATCTTGGGAGATAAAACCAACTCATCTCCACACTAAAACACTTTCCTAAAACTGATTTCCCCCCCCATACAGTCCGATTACAATCACATCTTGCCACAGACCTCTAATTCTAATTAATCCTATTAAGGATCTCCATATACAAACAGAAGAGTCAGCGGTTTCACTGAGTAGCCACATAAGTGCAAGGATACAGTCACACCAAGGTCCCTGTAAAAAGCAAAGCCTTAGTTATGAAATAAACTAAGTGTAAAAAAGAAATTAAAATAAATCAGTAGAAATGTTAAAAATTGTTTTCCACATCAGCATTTTTACTGTCCTGCACAGCCTAGTTGCAGAACAGAATCTCACTGTACTAAGCACTACACAAGACATTAAACAAACAGTTTACTTCTGCTTCCTAAAACATATAAAATAAAAAATAAACACAATACTTGTGAGTTGTAGCAGAGTCGGCATATGCTCTTGTCTGTCAATGGAGAAAGCTGAAAAAAGGAAAAAAAGATACCTGTAAACATTTACAATGAATCATCAAATAGAAATCAGATATGAATACTCATTTAGAGATGATCGGGCATTAAAAGTAATGCCTTTATGAAGGTAACTATGATACTCAAATATAATTTTATGCTACTAGAATGCATAAATGACAGTTAGAAATGCTCAAGCTAAGAAATAGGATAAAACAGCACAAAAATGCAGTGCTAAAGCACTTCATTAATAATAATTCTAAAAAAGAGATGCTGGTGTGCATTAGGAGTTGCACAAGTACTGAATTCCTGACTTTCTTCTGCTGGTCCTGTATAATCTGATGACTTGCTATCAGCCATCATTATGGATATATTAAAAACGAAACACTTGGCTGCTGCGGAGTTTCCCCACTACTGGGATTCTGTCTTTATACAACACTAAATGCTTTTAGGCACTTCTGAGAACAGTTTACTCCTTAGCAAACATTTATCAGTCACTTGGCTGTAGGTAGATACTAGTCATCACAGGACGAGGTTAGAAAGAGTGCAAATGGTAGAGATTAAAGGCCACTCATACGCATTAGCTCAACTTGAAATTTTTATTTGAGGTCCATGTAGTCAACATGCTCCACAAGGAAAAGCAGGACCCCACAGGCTCTGTTAACTACTCTCCATGCAGGCTGTTGAATGACTTTTTTTTTTTCCAAATTGGAATTTTTACACATAGAATACTATGGAATATTGAAACTATAGAGGTCTTTTGGTCATTTTATTTTAAGTCATAGAAAGTTTCTTAAGGGAAGGGAAAGGCAACTGTCAGTCTTAATGGAAAAGACATGTTGACAATGGAGAGGGGAATTCATTGCAGTCGGCTCAGGAATTTGAAAATGCAACAGAGACACACCCAACTAAAACCCAATTTCAAACGTAATTAAAAAATAAATAGATATATCACAATTCACCCAATGTCTTTTAGAAAAAGAAACACTGTTTAGGGGGCTACATTGGCATGAAACTAAGTTGCTGTGAAAGTTACACACAGTAGAAGATTCTTATACAATTTTAAAAGACCCGTGGAACCAAAAGGTGCATTGTTTTGGGGTAGCTGTGGTTTTCTGCACTAAGAAGGGCTATTTTTGTTTCAAGTTCAAGTCTACACTTGTGTTTGTCAGTTTACATTGCTAACAAAACATTCCTCTTAGAGTTTCTGTGTAAACAATAGACACCTTTGTGTGAGAAAAAAAAATATCTACATATATAAACAGTACACTTCAACTTGGCTACACTTCAAAACAAGCCATAAAAAGATGCAAATTTATAAATAAATGAAAATCCTAAGATGGAAGCTCACGAACTATGGAAACGATACCCTCCACGATCCTCCTGGCTTCCAAATAGCCAGGTAAGGACTTCACAGAGGCAGGCACGCGTGTCTCGTTATTTCTGTGCAAAGCTCTAGCAACAAGAGTCCCGACACCAGCGAGCATTACAGGACCTGGCTTCGATACACATTCCTAACATACAGGCCTGGCCCGACTTTGACAATTTGCCTGGTTACCCAAACAATCCACACCACAACAGTTTGTCATCGCCAGCAGGGATCCGCGCGACTTCGACACTATCATAACAAGGATGGTAAAAGGACTTTACCACCCTAAGGTCATTTAATACGTGCCCCCCCGCCGCAATAGTCTACGTCCTTGTTACAAAAAGGAATTAAGCAAATCTTGCTCAAATTCAGGAGAAATTAACAGGAGGGAATGAATTTTTGTCCAAACGACCGTCACCCTTCACACCCACTGACGGTGGATCAGCTCTGTGGGGTTTGGTTTTGTTTCCAGCAGATTGCAGGAGGAGGGGTGCACAGCCCTCAGCTGCCTAAGCCACCGAAGCACGTAAGGCTTAAGAATACTCACCTCAGCGGTCTTCATCTTTTCACGCGAGACTAAGTGATGGTTATAACCCACCTGCCAGCACAGGAGGGAGGGATGCCAGCATGGGAGGCACAAAGCAGGGGCTGTGGACATCTCTCCTACCCACCTGTGTGCCCCGACACCCGCACCTGTGCTGCGTGGCTAAAGACTCAGCCTTGCTGCAGGCCACTTCCAAGCCAGGGAGCCAGACGGAGCAGGCTGGGGGTCCTCTCCTCAACGGCATCCATGCCATCGCCCAGCGAGACCCTGGGACGAAGCATTTCAAGCCAATGGGCTCCAGTTATGGGAAGAGCCTCCCGGGGACCACTCTGGGAAGGGCTGCTGACCCCCTCCTTCCCGAGACACCTCTGCACCTGACCTGATGGGCTCCCACCGGAGCCTCCGCACCTCCCACCCAGCCACCTCTCCTCCGGGTCTCCCGCAGGAACGGAAATAATCAACTCAAGCGACCAAAAATAAAGCCTCTGCTGTTTTTAAACTCCCGAGGGGATGCGGAGGCCGGGCAGCCACCAGGCCCGAGGAGGGACGGCTGGTGGGGAGCCTCAAGAGAGAGTACCGCCGGCCGGGGCGCGCTGTCCCCGCACCGCCGCCTCCCCGCTCCGAGGAGGCCCCGGCGCCTCTGCCCGCCCCGGTGAAGCGCCCTACGGAGCCCCGGCCGCCGGGGGGAAACGGGAGGGTGGGCGCCTGCACCACCTGCGGCAAACGGCTGGGGCCGGCGAGAGGCAGCCACGGCAAAGAGCCTCTGCGAGGCGGGCACCTACCTCTGGCCCGGGCTCGGAGTAGGTCAGGGGCTTTGCGGGGAGAAAGGGGAACGGGGCTGAGCCTGCAGCGGGAGGAGGAAGGAGGATGGAGGAGGAGGAAGAAGGATGGCGCGGGGGGGAGCCCTCCGCCCCAAGGCTGTCCTGAGGGAGTGCGAACGGCGCAGGCCGCGGCCACCCGCTCCTCCCCGCCGGCGCGGCCCCTTCCCCGCGGCGCTGCCGAGGAGGGGGAAGGCGGAGGCGGCGGCTAACGGCGGCAGGGAGGCCCGGCCTCGCCTCGCCGCAGCGGCCCCCTCCCCGCCCCGCCCTCTCCCTCCCCTCGGTGACTGACGCCATTTTGCCCGGGCGGCGCGGGAAGCGGGCAGTGGAATGGCAGCGGGTGGCCTCTACGGGCGTCTCCTCGGCGGGGTCGGCGCAAGAGCAGCGGGCGAGGGGCTGCCCGCCTTCCCGCTCCCGTGCCGTTGGGGTTGCCGCCAGCCCGCCGCCCTGCCCGGCCGCGCTTCCCCCAGCCGTACGGGCTCCTGCGGCCGGGCTCTCCTCACGTAACCATCGTATTTCTGTGGTAACACAGAGCCGTGAGGCGTCCCCCCGCTCCCGCTGCGGCCCGGCAGCCGCTTCCCGCGGAGGGGAAGGATGAAGGAAACCCCTCGGTCCCCAGGTGAGGCCTGCGTGGGCTGCCGTGCCCAGCCTTGCACCGGGCCTTCTGCCTCGGTCCCCGGCCTCCCTGCCGGCAGCCGGGGTTCTCGGAGCCGTCCCTCTGGAGCGGGCAAATTCCTCACCTGGGTAGCTTTGCTCGCCTCAGGTTTCTTCCCGTCCCTCTTGAGAGGGTGAATTCCTCACCTGGGTAGCTTTGCTCGCCTCAGGTTTCTTACCATCCCTCTCAGAGCTGGCATGGAAGTGTCAGAGGTGGTTTTTTTTTTTAATCACCTTTTTTACTCGTTTCTGTAATCTTCCCGCATCAATGAAGCTGCGACCCCAAACGCATTGGTCTGTTTCTTTAGTTATTACAACATTTAGCATTAACATTCGATACACAACATTCTAGCATTATATTGAAACAGCACAAATGCTCAAATCCACAGCGTTCTCACACGATACTAAAATACTCGTAAACATTTCTTAATCTTGAGTGTTAATGATCTTTGTTTAACTAATTCGAGGTGAGAACACCGATTCTGGCCTCAGAGAGAGGAAAATGCATTCTCAGTTTTCTTTTAGCTTAAATAAACTTGGGTATTCACTGGCAAATTGAAATATAAATCCAAATGCTGCAATACTACTTATCACTTCACATTACACCCATTAAACACTGACAATATTTAATAAAGCAAGCATGCTTAATATAATCTATATCTAATAATACTAAAATGTGTGTTCATTTAAAATATATGTATAATTTATATCTAATAATACTAAAATGATGTTCATTAGGGCACCAGCGTGTGCATCGTGTCTTCCTTAACATCTATGTTATAACAATCACCATATAAATTCCTACAAACAGTTATAATCAGTTTGATCTGAATCCCTAATAAAATTTAGCACATGCGCGTACACTGAGGATTTTAGATAGACTAAAAGAATTACTTTAATCAATTTAATTCTTATCAGAAGCATCAGAACTTTCTTGTAGGTCTGTTCATCTTTATTCTTCAGAGATAATAAAAAGGCTGTTAGATTGGGCTATCCAGTGTAAAACCTTGGAAATGCTAGCAAAGAAAACCACTCATTTACCTTTACTGACTTTCTTTTAAATGAGGTTCAATGGTACAAATAATACTAAAGTCCATCCTGCTGGAAGACAAAGACAAGTCTCTCAAACAAACTGTTTTTCTCAGGATCCTTGACTTAGGGTTTATTCACCCTGTCCTTCAAATGTTTCTGTTGCAATCCTGTTAAAATTAAGTATTTGTATGTCTCACAGATATTCCAAGGTAAATAACATCTCTGTACAATTGACTAAGGGTCTGTAGCAGGTATTTACTCTTTGTTCACAAGTTTTGTCCTGTACCAGCTCACCAATTCAGTTACAATTTTGTAAAGATGATGATTCTGTCCTGGAATATGTAAATCCTAAATAGCAGTTTGGGCAAGGGGGGAAGCAGGCATTAGACTTATTTCTTTGCAAGCTCAGCTGCTTGTGTTTCAAAACTGAGAGAAGGTTTCTTGCCTGTCCTCGTTTCCTACAGTTTCTCCCTCACTCAATAAAATAACTCAGAATTTCAGTCAGTGCAAACTCCAAGCTGCTTACTGGAGAAGGGAGCATACTAATTTATTTCTCTTAAGAGTTCTAGGAATTTTCTTGGTCTGATAAAACCTGCTAACAGAGTAAACTGTTCTAGGTAAATTCTGCCAACTTCCAGCTGTCTTTTGCAGATTTCTCAAACCAGAATCAGGCAAAACAGGTCCTCTTTGTCGGTTTCTCACAGACACCTAGATATTTATTATGACGTTGAAGGAATATAAAAGTATTTCTTACCAGTTTAGTGTGTTTGGATTTTATGAGAACTGTATTCTTCCAATATTGCTGCCAGTGAAGGATAAAACAGTCAGAGTTTGCAGGTTTCCTTTTAGTTTGTGTAGGATATTTTCAAAACCAGGAGCTGTGAGCTGAATTCTTCTTGTTGTTTAACAAAGCAAAGTTTTCCTTTTGTTTTTCCCCTTGTTGCATTTAATGCTGAAAACCTCTCGATTATGGAAGCAATCTAGTTAAATATTTTATGTTTTGGGAAAGACTCACTTGCCTTGGAAGTCTTTTTCAATTGCTGGGTTTTGAGAGTCTATCACTGATCGGAGGAGAAAAGGACAGAGAAAGAATTACAAATTGCAAATTTGTGTACTGCTAGAATCCTAAGTGACAGCCCAGGATCGAATACAGGATGTTCTGCATCTTTAGTTTGACAGTTGTAACAGTCCTGTGGCCATGCAGACTTCACAGTTGTCATTTATACCACAGTCTGTGGCCACACAGATGTTGTGGTTATAAATGGAGACAGATCATGTGCAAGACACTCCACTCCAGCGACACACAGCTTTTTACTGCTAGAGCTTAAGGACCATTTGTAGCCGCCACAGCGGTATTAAAGTTTGTATTATCTATGTGCAAGGCAGTGTATCCTGTGTCCTTGAGCACTTCACCCAATTAAGAATGGTCATACTCGCACACACCAGTTGTTAAAGACTAGGTTCAGATCTCTGCCATCAGGCATCCAACTTTGCAATGGCTTAAAAAAATATTCTTCACCCAAAAAAATTGATTCAGAGATGTAAGCGAGACATTTTGTCTTTGTGCATGATCAGAAACATGACAAAGTAGGTGTCTCTGGAGGACGGTTCCGTGCTCGCTAACTGGAGAGCTGCTGGCGTTAGCCATTGGGAAACACCACTCCAGGAGCAGGTTTGAGCAGCTGAGTGCATCTGGTGTGTGGCTGTGCACAAAGGGCTTCCAGCCACTCGGAGCAGTGATGCCGCTGGCAGGGCAAGTACCTGCTTAAGAAGGACTAAAAGGCTAAAAGAAGTTCCTCCTTAAGAAGGACTAAAAGGTATGATGCCAGGAACTGCCTTTTGTGAAGTAGGCTAGTGCCTGCCTGCCCCACGGGAAAGGAGGCCAAGGATCTTCTTAGTCTGAAGATCCCACTGCACCGCTCTGTAAAAGATGTCCTAACCATGTGGCTATAGACAAGACTATGAAAGAACCACTATCTGCTATTCTGGTAAAATCAGACTAGAGAGGGAGCCTGATCCCACCACTCAAGGACGAGTATTTCCCTTGTGTGCCTGACTTAAAGTATTAAGTAGTCCTTACCTGTTGCTTCCACTTATGTCTTCAGAAAAGCAGACCAGCAATGGAAGATCTCAATGTGAAGATTCTCACGTGAAATTTCCACAATATTGAGGAGTTCAGCTATGGTGTCTTGGTATACACCAGAATCATCACTTGCTCCTACAGCATTACAGACCATAGGTCTGCTGATGAATCTCCCACACGGGCAAGAGATCTGCTGCCAGCCATCAAAATGCTTCCCAGGAGCAGAGCTGGCCCTTCAGAGCTCTTCTGGGTGGCAGTATTGAACGGTATGCTCAGACAGCAAAGAACATTTTGGGTGAACTGATTGCTCTTGAGAAGAGCTTGTGAGCATGTCTCTGTTTAAGCCTGTCCAGCTCTGTCCTAAGTAGTAAAACAATATATAGAGAGACACAAATGGTGAAGTCCTGTTCCACGCAGGTGCTCAGCACACTGCAATACTGTTAATTAAGCTTTGTTAGTTTGATGTCCAGTTTTTCTGACATAGGTTTTGATCTCCTCTTGCAGAATTCTAAAACTCTGCCTTTTTTCTTTGTATGCGCAAGTACATTTAGAAAGGATTTTCATAATTTCTTTGTGTCCAGCTTCTCTAATAAGGTTGGACAGATTCTCACAGTTTCTGTTGCTAATATGATTCCTGGCAAATAGAGCAGAAGGTTCAGGAGAACAAAAGAAATGATCTAATTTTAGTAATGGTGCAGACTGAGTCTGTCATTTTTTTCTCTCTCTTTTATCCTTCTACCCTTTCTGAATGTCAGAACCTCTCCCAGCGCTGCCTCTTTTCAGTTTGAATTGAATTTTTGTTCTTCATCAAGGGCTGGGCAAGAGGAGGTTTTAGATACTCCTCTGAACAGAAGCTGGAGTATTGGAGAGGCTTGTCAGTGAAATTCTGACATACATACCTATTTGAAGTATGAGAATTTCTAAAGAAGCCTTAAATTAAAACATATTCTTTCAAAGGCAATGGAAATACTGACTTGTTTTAAATTACACATATGCTTACAAACTTTGCTAAGCTTGGGTCTCAAGGGGTTGTTCTAGTGAAGAACAATTATGCGTGTCTCAGTTGACCGTTATCTTCTGCTTGTTTTGGATGTGAGAAACAAACAGGCTGTATTGCAATTTGGAGGATGGCAATTATAGACATCTGATGTGCAGGAGTGGACAGGAAAGCAAAGAGTAAAGAATAACATGGTTTGAAGTGAAAATTGTTTGAGCAGTAACAAAATGCAGAGGATGTCCTTTCTCAGATGTTAATTTATTGAGTGTACAACAAGAACACCGGTATGGTTAGAAATAAAGAGTAGTGCAACATTTAGTGATGTAATATATTCCAAAATGAAAAATAAAGCCAGCCTAAAGATTTAATTTTGTTCCTGATTAGGTCTGTTTAAACAAC